AGAAAGCCAGAGAGTCCAGGGGCTAGGTCCCACTTACACAAATTATTAAGCGATATTGACCCTAGATAGCAAAGATCAACGGCCAGAATCTCTCTTAATCCGTGCAAGTGGGACCTTGCCCCGGGCTGTTGTAGAGGTTGGAAGCTGGACATCTGACCGTAAGAATCAGTACTCCACCATTTGGTTATCTGGGCCCAAGTCCCACTAGCCGTGTTGATTTTCCTCAACGCCTGAATCTGGACGTGTTTCTGGAAATATGCGGTTGAGGAAACTCAATGCCCAATGCTGCTAGTGAGACTTGCCCACCCGATGGTCTATAGAGACCAATCCTACCGACCACCTCTCTCAGGGGCCCATCACTACCCCCCCTCTCACTATTTCCTGGTGCACCCATCTTCTTACCAACGGGCCTAGCTCAGTTCAACAACAAAAAAAAAAAAAAAAAAAAAAAAAAAAAAAAAAAAAAAAAAAAAAAACACTCACTGTTGGAATCCAGACCCGCTTTCAAATCCAGATAGAATCAGCTGACCACAATAAATTCATTCTTTTTTTCGCTTTTTTCTTAAACAAAAATGAAAAAAAATCATTCTCAACAGACGTACGGATCTATACCGACTGGGGCCGGTCCGCCGGTCTATTCAATGATGGTACCTCAAGCCGTGGCATTTCCAAAACGGGAAAGAGTTCATTCGTGAATTTATGTGTGTCATCCTTTTGCGCAGGGGCCATGCTAATCTGCTCTCCCAACCTATAATCATTTTGTTTTATTTTTTTTTATTTTTTTTTTAAGGAAAAAAAAAGAAATAACTTCGGTGTATCGTTCCAATTTTAACGGATGTCCCAAAGGACGGGAAAGAGTTCACAGATGTCGTTCAATGGCATATACAATGGGACAAAAAAAAAAAAAAAAAAAGGTAGACACTGCTAGACAGTGATATGCATATGTGACTGTTTGTAAATAGATGATGAGTTCGAGTCCTGATCGAGACGAATACGATTATGGTTTTTTTTTCTTTTCTTAATACGATAATGTTAACGAGCTACCCCTCTTTATAATTTTTCAAAAAAAAAGGACGGGGAAAAAAAACGCCAAAGAAATCGCAAATCCTTGTCACAGGGAGCGCTTCATAAAGAATGGACGGATTGGAAGACAACCAGAAGACAGAGCAAAGCAATCCAATCACTCACACTAGCATTTTGGGGGGAAGTACCTGACCGCAAAGAAGGCCAGATTCTCTGAAAACAATTAAGTACATGTGTGCGAGTGTTAACTGAAGAAGAAAAACAATAATAAAAAATCCTTGTACAAATTTGCCCATTCTAATACGCACTCAGGCCTATAACTTCAACTTCAACTTCAATGCTGGGGCGCCACGTGGCGCGAATAGCGACCAATGAAATTTTATCGTGGCCATCTCTAATTCTCTGAGGATTGGCAAAATAATAACATGCATGAGTGGCACCCAAAAAAGAAAAAAAAGAAAAAAAAAAGGAATGAAATACTGCAGTTAGCTACGTTTCCAACTTTTCCAATAGGGAAAAGTTGCTCAGTGTGTTTTTGTGCACAACATAACTTTTTTCGGATTTTTTCGATTTCTTTCGTTCCTATACGTACCTCCCCCAGCCCTTGCCCGGCCGGGCCGCCCGGGTAACCAAGGTGACCACGGGAGGCTCGGTTCGTAGCGCAGATCTGTAGCTATAAATCTATCTATCTATATATATATATATAGTCAAACAGAGCTGGCCGGTAAACCGCAGGCAGAGAGGGACAAGAGGGAGAAGAGGACAAGAAACGAGGGGCTGTGACAAACTGTTTCGTCGGAGTTTCACCGACTCATCAGGAGGCTGATATATATATATATACATATATATATAGAGAGAGAGAGAGCCTCCTGATGAGTCGGTGAAACTCCGACGAAACAGTTTGTCACAGCCCCTCGTTTGTTGTCCTCTTCTCTCTGTCTGCCTACGGTTTTACCGGGCAGTTCTGTTTGTGACGATATATATACCGGGCAGTTCTGTTTGTGACGATATATATACCGGGCAGTTCTGTTTGTGACGATATATATATATCGTCACAAACAGAACTGTCCGGTAAAACCGTAGGCAGAGAGAGAGAAGAGGACAACAAACGAGGGGCTGTGACAAACTGTTTATCTGTTTGTGACGATATATATATCGTCACAAATATATTTATATATATATATCGTCACAAATTCCCCCGTTTGCTGCTGGACTTTGCGCCGCGAAGTTGTGTGGTAGTGGATGGCGCCGCGTTGCAATTGCGTCGCGAGTGTTGACACGACTTGCAGAGGATTTGCGGTGTAAGGAGATTACCCGCGAGTGTCAGGCCTCTGATGAGCCGGTGAAATTCCGGCGAAACACTC